GTACTATATACAATACAATATTTATTGGATAACACTTTTATAACAGTGGCACACGTTAGACAAATTCTAACGGTGCATCCAGAAAAGAACAAAGCAACAGAAATAAAAAAATTAAATTCTTAATTATGAGAGATTTACAGATAACATAACATAACATAACATTATTGCCCACCCACCAATCAAATTAGTAATAATAATAATAATAATGACAATAACATTAATAGGATTAAATAAGCCAACAGTTAAGATGCTAAGTAAATTGAGTCATTTAAAACGGTAATTCATAAGAACAACATTAATAATAATAATGAAGATAATAACATTAATAAGCCTACAGTTGAAAAGTTGAATAAATTATATTAACATTCATCAAAATATTTAAAGTATATTTTTAAAAGGTAATTGTTACCACAAGCATTTTTTTTTTAATTGAAAATTTGTAGATAGCATGAGCATTACTGTAAACTACACAATGACATTAATTAAAAATAATTATTCAAAAAGAATATTTCCTAGGATAATTATATATATTTTACAAAACTACCCAGTAATACATTTAAAATGTGGAGATATAAATTACAAAAATGTGAGAGTTGACAGAATTATTCTTGTCTCTTCACATAATTCTCAGCCATACAAGAGTTGATTCAACATAAAAATAATGTAATTGTTTTTTTATTGAATTTATAATAAAAGTAATGAAAATGAAATTAAATGGAAGTATGTTTAATACTTTATAAATAAATATACACAATGAGGATGCTATGAATCTGACTCAATACATTTTTTCATTTAATATTAAATAATATACATGTTTGTTGGTATTCCTAATATGGTGTGTGATTCAGTAGATGAAAATGTAACATAAACAAGCAGGGGCGGATCCAGAGTTGTCCAAAGGGGGGGCCGAGATTTGGGCCGATCGAGACAACAATGACCTAGGGGGTCCGGGGGCATGCCCCTGCGAAATTTGTGTGTTCTAGACGCCCGAAAATAACATTTGAGGCGTTGTGGGCTATCATTTTTTTCTTTTTCTTTCTTTTTTTCTTTTTTTTACCTTCCAAAAGAGGGGGGGGCGGGGCCTGGCCGCCCCTGCTAAACAAGTGAGCAGTATCATCATCATCAAAATTAATAAGTTTATATAGTTTGGTAATCACAACTGCAAATTTATATGAGTGATATGAAATAATATATATGTAGGTATTCACCTGTAAATTAATAATTATGAAAAGACCACACAACAACAGTAGCAACCAGTTGACTATCAATTTTTAATAATTGAATATTTTTACAGTTTTGTCACCATAATTTGCTACTGCAAGTCTCCTTGGATGATGTGAAATTACGGATAATCCCCTTGGACTTTTGATTTTATCTTCTGGTTTATCAATTCTTTTCATGAAAGTTCCATCACTACTGAATAGCTGTAGTTTGTGGTCACTTGATATAATGATGTTGTCATCCTCATCAACTACTACTGCATGTGGATACCTCACCTTACCATCCTCATTTCCTGATTCAACAAGGACTTTCAAGAACTGTCCCTCATTATCAAATAACAGTAGTCCTTGATTTTGAAAATACAATATAAGGCAATGTCCTTGATTTGTAAGAGTTACATCACAGACTCTACTTATTTGATTGTGTTTGCTTTTTGACCCTATCCGATGCTTCACCTTGTCATTATCAAAGTCAAGCATGTAGACATAGTCTGAATTGTAGTCTCCAGCATACACAACATTTGATGCCTCATCCACATGGATGCCAGATGGATTTGATCTGATCACCTCACCATTCATAACAAAAAAGCCCCAATAGATTGAAAAGTAACATTTTTAACATCAATATGCAAGAAAGTAACATGTATATGCATTATATGATTAAAAACTTACACTACAAAAATATAAAATCATAAGATCAATAGTGTGTGATTCAAATTTGATGAGAACTACACTATAAACAGTTGAGGTTGGCAGATTACAGTATTAATGTTTTCAGTTTAATAACTTCAACTCTATAGATATCATTTATGTAGAATAATTAATATTTTAACAGTTTAAAAAAAAACCACAACTTCATCTCTATGTATATCATATTCAATAATGAAATATTTTAACAAGTTTATAAACATTATGCCAACTTTATATTTCGATATTATTGTATTCAATAATTAATTATTAAGTTTAAGATTCATAACTTAACTCTATGTGGATGATATGAAATAATGGATACGTAGATATTCCTACACTTATAAATTTGAATTGTTTAAAACACACAAGTGAAGCAAGTGGACTGTCAATATTTAATAATTGAATATTTTTACTGTTTTGTCACCATTATTTGCTACTGCAAGTCTCCTTGGATGATATGAAATGATGGATAATCCCCATGGATTGTTGATTCCATCTTCTGGTTTATCAATTCTTTTTATGAAATTTCCATCACTACTGAATAGCTGTAGTTTGCGTTGACTTGATATAATGATGTTGTCATCCTCATCAACTACTACTGCACTTGGAGATGTTACCTTACCATCCCCATTACCTGCTTCAACAAGGACTTTTATAAACCTTCCCTCATTATTAAATAATTGTAATCTGCTGTTGTCATACTCCAATACAAGAAGGTGTCCTTGGTTAGTAAGAGTAAGATCACTGACATAACTCATTTGACCTTCTTTTCTACCATATGACCCTATTGTTTTGATGGTCTTGCCATTATTCATGTCAAACATGTACACACAGCTACTGTACCAACCTCCTGCTGCATACAAAACATTTGATGTCTCATCCACATGAATGCTCCGTTGTGTATTCTTTGCTCCCTCACTAATTGTTTTAATCAGCTGACCATTCATATTGCATATTCTGATAGGTTCATTAAGATTGTAATCACTGAATGCTATGTTACCATTCTTCATTTTGTACATTCTGTTAACTTTCACACCTTGTGGTAGCGTAACCTTACCAATATATTCTCCTGATTGCTTGTACTTGAGCATTTCATTTGTCCTACATGAAACCAGTAAGCAATCATCTTCACACTTAACTACATCGTAAACTTCATTATTAACATTGTTTGTTATTTTAATGGTATCTACTAATCCTTCCTTCTCTACTTTCATTATCATTGGTGACTGCTTGATTGGTTCGCTGCTGGCGCTCACATCTAATTTACAAATACCTGTACTAGTGCATTTTCCTGTCACAAAATAATCTCCATTGTCGTCTTCCTGAACTTGAGTGATGTTGATTTCTCCTGTAGGCTGTGTCCAAGTTGCCTTCAGTTGATTTGCATGTATTTCACATTCATCTGTTTTTATTATTTTGACAACAATTGTCTGACCTTGTAATGCATATTCCACTCCCTTCAGTGTTAGGCAATCTGCTGCTCCCTGTGATACGTACCCAATATCACATTGTTGCAATGAATCGAGCTGATTCTCATTGATAACAAATTTAATTTGTCCATTATCAGCCGGCTTTGTTTTTGGCAATTCATTGATTCTGTCCTTCAGTGCTGTAATTACTCTTTCACTTGACTGCATTGCTGTTGCTTTATCACTCTGCAAAAGCTGATTAAGAAAACTGAGTTTTGTATTTATATCAGATATTGTTGTTTTCAGTTCATCCATTTGGACATCTTGTACCTTCTTTTTGTTTTTGTATATTGCCTGTACTTCTTTTTTAATTTTGGCTCCATTCTCCTTGATTTTTCTTATCATCAGTTGTACATGATTGTCAACGTCTCTCAAAGTTGTATCTTTATTTTGATTTAATTGTTTAGCATTCTGAGTAACTGCTTTGAGGCCATCTTGTAATTTGCTTTTGCATTCATTGGCAGCTTTCTCCAATTCTGCTGAAGTTTCTTTAAATGCTTGAAAAGCTTTAGAAATGCTGATTATTTTGTGATTTCCTTCCAACTCCTTGTGGTCAGTAATTGTACAATGCATGCATATTGGAGTTTTACAATCTGTGCAGTAAAATTCCAAAGGTTTGCTGTGAAGCAAACACTTCGGCGGATGTAGTAAAGTCATCTGTGAAGGGGTCATTGATCGCACATCCTCCACTGAATGTAGCTTGTGGTTGGCAAAGAGTCGAAAATCTTTATGAAGGTCACTACAAGTAGAGCACAAGTACTGTTTGCAATCTTGGCAGTAATATTCTGGCTGTCCTTTTTTACAAACACATTTTATCTGATCTTTTTTAGAAAATTGTTTAATAGTTTCTAATAAGTTATTTAAAAAGGTATTTGGTGGAAGCTTCCGAAGCCCGCCCTCTGGAATGGGATATGATTTTGAACAGGTTGGACAAGTCAGCTTACCCTTCTCCTTAACCCAATCTTCCAGACATGTCGAACAGAAACTATGAAGGCAGTTGAGAGATTTAGGATCTTGAAGTCTCTTGAAGCATATGGTGCACTCAAGGACATTCTCATCAACATTTTCCAAAAACTGATTTAGCTCACTGGTAGCCATCTTGAACTAATCCTGTGAATTATAAATTTTTTTTTTGAGCTGGTTTTGTACAGGGTAATAATAAAGATATAAAATAATAAGTTTATTTAGGGAGCCTCGCAAAATAAAGCAACGCGTATACCCGTCTACAACGCGTGGTTGGGGATTAAAATCTCTTCGCGTTGCCGACGAGTGGTTCAAGATACTGATCAAAAATGTTGGACGATTCCATTTCGCGAAATTAGGGTTCGTTTTCCGACGTTTTTGTTCTACTTGTTTGCGTCGGTTTATCTCGTGATTTTGATGTACAGTAGTGTGAATTAATTTTAATACTATATCCTGTCATTTGTTATTGAGCTATTCTGTAAAATTTAAAACCGAAATGACGAATACCAAGACTTGAAACCCAATGAAATTTCCTATACACTTTTATACTGTATTGTAATCAGGCCAAACTCAGGTTTTTGCCATGAATATTGACGGGATAAACGCAATTTAATGCCAGTATATTGCTTTTTCTAGAACTATTCATAGGAACATTCCCACGCTCTGCTTCTATGGAAATACAGACTGAATCAAAGTGTATGTGTCATTGATCATAGCTCAAACCCTTTGTTATAACCAGGCCAAACTCATGTTGTTGCCATGAGCATGGAGGAATAAATTCGTAGTGACAGGATAAATGCAATTTAATGCCAGTACCTGCTTCTTCTAGAACTTATTTATAGGAAAAGTCCCATGGTTCTGCTGCTATGGAAATTGACTATTAAGGGGCATTGATCTTGCTGCGGGCCGAGTTATGCATAGCCGTACCCTTTGTACGGCGCCCAGTGATAACGACTCGACGTTACCATGGAAAAGCATAGAATAAACTAAGAAAATATCAGTCTCTTAATTTTTGTGTGCAATTAAATCTTGTATTTATAATTTTTATTATTTTTTAAAAATTTTTTATTATTATTATTATTTTTTTTATTAGTCTCATTTTCAATTATATTTTATATTTGTTATATATATTTGAAAATGGATTTGGTACGATACAAATAAATTAATTACAATAAAGACAACAAGGAAGTGACAAACAGAAATTAAAAATCAAACAATAACAGCTCATTCAGTAGAACATAAATTATAGTTAATTAGCGTAAACAGTTTATTACATGAACATAGGCCTAATTAGTGATCAAGATCTACTGTGTGTGTGTACAACAGTTGCTTGTATATGCTTGTATGATAATCAGATCTAAACACAATACTTTTATTTAGTGGTTTTTTTTGTTTGTTTTTTTTTCTCATTTTGGAAGCTTAACAACAATAATTTATGCCAAAAAATGTCTACCGTATCCGAAAACGCCATTCCTCTACACCCAGGCCCAATGTCTGTTTTCAAAATGACCTACAGAGAATGAATGAAAATAAATGGGGGAAAATAATGCCACCCTAGCTTAGCCAACTGCACTAAATTCTGATATTCATCGTATATGTTGAGTATTTATTGGCTGTCACTGTACTTTATTATCAATAGGACTACAAATAGTAGGCCTATTGTACACTTATTTTTGATATAGGCCTACCATAATATATTTGAAATGCAAGGTTATTCCCAACTATTATATCGGAACAAATTATAGACAATAAATCAATGGATAGAAAAAGCAATTTAAAGAATGAAATAATGATAATATGTTAAGAGATCGTAATTCAGTAAATATCCCATAGCCCATTGAGTACAGGACCAGAGTCAAGCGTCTAACTTTTACTGTGATAGAACATAAACTGGGCATTCAGACTGTGTTCTCGGCGCATGTTCTCAGCACATAATGTTCTCGGCACACATCATTTTTTGTAGTCTGAACGTGTGCTAATGGAATTTATGTCGAGCACAGAATGTTCTAGCTAGAACCCAGTTGAACCACGTTCTCGGAACAAAATGTTTTCGAACTACGACTCTGGAATGAAGTCTGAACGTGTGCCAAGCATAAAATGTTATAACTGGGCAAGCTTCAGTGACGTGACCTGACCTGCTTTGACATTCTTCCGAGGCGCAATGTACACATGTTAGGGCAAATATAGAAAATTATTAGATTATCGCTCCCGCAAGCGTCAAAAATTTGGGAAATATTGATGCGGGAATAATTTTTTTTCCCCGCATCTATTATTTCAACAGCATAAAAATAACAATGCCATTTTGTGACTTTAAATACATTTTCTTTAAAAAACTATAAAATTAAACCTGTTTTTATACAATATTTACTATTACAGACCAAATATAAACAGTCCTCTCCCTCATTGATAAAAACAAAGGCGAAATAGGCCTAATCTATTGTTCCAATTAAAAAAAACCGCCCTTCATCATTTTTTTAGATCATAAGAGTGATAATCTAATAATATTTTCTATGTGCTTTTATAATACAGCAGCAGTACTACTGTTCTCTTCATTAATTTATGCTGTAGGCCTAAATGTTTTGGAACAAAACAAAATTCTGAAAACATGTTCTGACAGAGGAAGCACATGGAGTGCAGTCATTGAATTGAATTGTGTAGTTGAAGTTTGGAAAGAAGGGAGATAGAAGCACAAAATACCAAAAGGTCTGGGAATAAGCAACTTTTCCAAAAGGTATCCGACAATCTTGGGATTTCCATGAAGACCCTGGGATCGTATAAGAGACAAATTTAATAAAATGGAAACAAAGTTAGGCCTACAGTGACTCTGAGCTCCTCTCAAAATGTTACACATGCATAAATGCCAAGAACATGGTTTTATAATCTGAATGATCGTATTTTAAAAGAACCGTTCGTTCGGTGTGGTATGTGAACATGTGCCGAGAACATAATGTTACGATAACATTTTATGCCGAGTACTGTACATAATCTGAATGCGCCCTAGAGTATGTCAAAACCACAGGCCCTACACTTCCAGCCGACGATGCAGTACACTGCAAGGAAGACGTTCCAAGTCCACTTGATACGTTGTGGCGTACAAACAATTGAAAACTACTTTATACATTACCAGTGCGTTTTATAAATGAAATTAAAATCCCTGTAGTAAAATAACATAGTCATTTGGTACATTCAAGCGTTTAAAAACGATTTAATGATTATACATTTTAAATTTAATTATTTTGAAAAATTATTATAAAATTAATAACCCATATGGAATGGTAGAGTCCATGGTTAATCAACGACACAACAAAACATGTGCTTCGCTGTTTGAAAAGGGGTGAAAGCAATTCATTGAACAGCAATCTAGAGAAAACACGGAGAAAACAATATTTTACAGTATACAATACCTTTTTTAAAGAGCCTGATAATCATATATAATAAATATATTCTTTTACACTAAACTTCGAGATTAATCAACATTGAAATAGAATAGAGAGTCTAGGTTTGTGCCGCATCAAAACATGTGTTTCATCGGTAGAAAGGGGTGAGAGCAGTGCATGTAACTGCTAGCTGGAGAAAATTTTTTTTGGTTTTTTGAAACGTTTCTCGTCACATACAATGGATATACTGTTCCACCAAAGTTCCAGATTAATCAATATTAATATAGATAACATATAGGCCTAGGACAGCTGCTCACATTTATATCAGATAAAGGTACTAATATGAAGTTCAATAATTCTTTTTTTTGTATTTCGCTAACACTGAAGGAAGTGTACCCTATCTACGTTCATGATCGCATGTAGGCCTACTGTAGACCGATATCTGTCTGTCGTCCTAGACAGTTTTATTTAATAATCTTAATTAATACTAAGACGATATAAGAAATGATAATTTTAAAGACTAACTGTAAAAAAGATATAATTAGGCCTAACAAAAATTCATAAAAATTGCCTGTTTTCGATTTTTAATTTTACTCCGTAATTTTTCTGAGTAAGCCAAAGCCTAGGCCTATCAATGGAGGTATATTATCTATGTCCTAGGCCTCTTCTAGTTTTATATTTCTGCTGTCTGTTGGTTTTAATCGTAATGGTGACGATAATCTCGATAAATTATTAATGTAATTCTCAGAAATATAACGTGAGCTTGCGTTACATCCAATAGGGTTTATTTTTATACGAGACGTTTTTGTTTGTGTTAATTGGGTTTTTACACTAAGCCTGTTATCAGTTCCCCACTACGAAGTGGAGTAGCCCAGGAAAATAATCCCAACGCGTGGCCAACTATGGGATTAAACTGCCTTTAATCGCATCGCGTGGTCCGCTCGTATACGCGTTGCTTTATTTTGCGAGGCTCCCTTATATTATGATGGGCTAGACCCCTTTTATTCAAACTATAGGACTATAGGGTTGCCAAGATATTTTGCTGGGTTTGCTAGACGTTTTTTGCTGGGTTTCGGACAGTACCAGCATGAAGTTAAAATTTTTAATTTTAATGTTGACAGATCTGATCTTTGGTGGTGGTGGAAGAGCAATGGTGATGAACAGCAGTGATAGATGATGGTCAGCGATGTTGATGATTAGTGTTGGTGATGGTAGGTGATGGTTAGAGTTGATATGTGGTGTTTAGTGTTACAGTAGGTAGAAGTTAGTGTGTGTGATAGGTGGTGGTTTTGTTGGTGGCAATGCCATAGCCAGCTATTGAGACAATTTGGACAGTCCCACACAATATTTCTAATTGGTCCACAAAGAATGGATCCAAATTAAATTATGCAATTTTGTACATAAATGAATCCACTTTTTGTCCATATATTCTCATATTTAGCCTAAATATGTACAAGAGTCCAGATTTTTCATATTTTTGCATAAATGGGGTCAACTTTTAAGAAAATAGGTTTCATTTTCTCAAAGAATGCAGATAATGTAGTACAGAATAATTTTAAAATAATTTTACTATGAAGTACAGTGAGAACTCAAATTGGACGGTTGTTGACAGAATTTTCTTTTCATCACTTTTTGAGAATTGGTTGAGCCAATGGACCTAGGACATAGAAATTACAACTGCTAAAAAAACAAATTAAAAATGTAAAATAAATAGCATTGGTATATGTAGGATGCAGCAGTTGATATTAATTTTGAATGAAGTTATTTGCA